ACCCAGTCACCCTGTGCCCAACAGCAGTAAACCTGCAGCGTCCTGCGCTGTCCTCACAGCTGTCCCTACCTGTCGCAGCCACTGTGTCCGTCCGTCCGTCTCGCTGAGCCTCCACCTCTTTTCGCTGCCCCTCCACTGTGCCAAACATGGTGTCCTTCTCCAGAGATTGGGCTCCCCTGACAGTATGTCCACAGTGCGGGAGGTGAAGTCTTGCCCTCCTGGCTTCTGAGCCGTGGTCTGGCTGCCCTTCTCCAAGACAGATCCGTTGGTCACGGTACCTCCGACATGACTCGTCAGCACCACAGGTCAAACGCAGCAATTATTCTTCAGTCTTCCTTATTCAGTGTCCAACTTCACATGCGTGTGAGGCAGTGGGAAACACCATGACTTGGGTCAGGGGCACCTTAGTCCCCGAAGTACCACCCTTGTTTTCCATCACTAAAGAGGTACAGGAGGGTTATCCAGTGCAATCCACCTTTTCATCTCTTGACTGCTGCTCCCATGAGCACTGATTGTGGATCCAAGCAAGACAAAATCTCTGACAACTTCAATTGTTTGTCTCTATCATGATGTCACCTATTAGTCTAGTTGTGAGGATTTTGGTCTTTTATACACTGAGTTATCATCCATACTGAAGCTGGAATCCTTGATCTTCATCAGCAAGTGCTTCAAGCCCGCCTCACTCTCAGCAAGCAAGGTTGTATCATTTGCATATCACAGGTTATTAGTAAGCCTTCCTCCAATCCTGACGCCACATTCTTCTCCACATGATCCAGAGAAGACAACCCCGATGCACACCTGGATTTGGAAACATGCACACGATTCCCGTGTTCTGTTCACACACTTTCACACTAAAAGCAAAACATCTTTCTGCTTTCAGCAGATCCGTCTGACATCAGTGACGACATCCCTTGTTCCACCACCTCTTCTGAACCTGGCCTGAACCTCTGGCAGCCCCCCATCAATGGACTGCCGCAACCTTTGTTGAATGATCCTCAGCAAAGCAGTGCCTGCGTGTGACAGCAATGATGCCGTCTTAGAACCTGAGCCTCCTGCTGGGCCTCCTTCCTGTGGAGTGGGCACAAACAGGGGTCTCGTCCAGCCAGCTGGCCAAGGAGCCGTGTCCCAAGTAAATCTAACGTCCCCACGCTGGCTTCACACACGTCCCCTCAATCTTGGCACCAACCAGCGAGGAAATACGGCATCCATGTGCACACAGGAGGTGCTGCCACTCAGAAGTGATGTCCTTGGCTCCACATCCAGCCGTCTGCCAGTGCGGGGGACAGGTGCCTGCCTTCAGACACAGCCTCTCCCAGCGGAGACCTCTCCCTGCTCCACAGAGGGCAAAGCTGCCCTTTTGCACAGATCTGAGGGGGCTTCTAAGAGTTCGAGGGAGGATCCTATTGTCCTTCCATCTCATTTTCCTCCGGATCTGGGCAGCCCCTCGTGTCGCGAGAGAACTGGGCTGGCTGTGATGCTTCCGTGTGCCTGCCACTTGGAAGGGATGTACGGATGTGCCCTGGGTCTCCCTGCAAACCTGTGATGTAGGCGCAGGGAGGCCTGGTGCTGATCAGGAGCCGGCCAGGCGCCCTCTGTGGTCCCTGCTCGCTCCCCTTTCCCACCCAGCAGCACCCTGTGTTCTGAGCCTGCAAACTCGGGGGACGCGGCATTGCCTTTCTCTCTGGTTTTAGGAAAACCGGAACATTTTCTGGCTCTGATTCCCCCCTCTCTCTCCCGTGAAGTCAGTTCCCCATCTTGTGACATTTAGACATTGCTGCTAGGTCTATTTTAAGCTCAGTGCCCTTTAAATTCAATACTAACTGCAGGATAGAAAGTGTGAAGTAGTACCTGCAGAACAGAAAATGTTTCTGGAACCCTCCTGCTTGGACACCCCCACCCCACCCCACCCCAGGTGTGCTTCCAGAAACTGGGCCTCTCTAGCCTCAGGAAAGGAGTCCTGGGTCAGGGCTCTGCAGTGAAGCATTGAGCCTCGAGGTGCACGCTTGGCAGTTCAGCCCACCCGCCTCTCAGTGGGGTGGGAGACTCTGTGAGGGTGGCTCTGCCTGCCCCCTGGGGGCTCGGGTGTCAGAATTGGCTGTGTCTCGCGGCAGCCTTAGGACAACGGCAGCCGGCATAGTGGGCTCAATTGGCAGGAGAGAAGAATCATCTCAGCACGTTGATTTCTTGTGACCCGTGGAGAAAGGCGGCGCTCTCACAGAGTTCCCTCCAGAGGAGGAGCGCCCGTCTGCTGTCTGAAAAGGTACAGGCAGCGGCGAGCATGCCCAGGGGAAGTCTAGGCTCTGAGGAACGTTGCCGTCACTGTGCTAGGGGTCATCCTCTCCATGTCGGCTTGTGGCCGCCCTGGTGACAGAAGAGAGGACCCCAAGGGTGCCTTCAGCGGCTCCCAGCCAACACGTGGAGCGGACACTGTCCACAGGATTTGCCTAAGTCCAGCTGCACTGCTCTGTTCAGATGCAGAGGAAGTGGCTGCCCTTGTGAGGAACGTTCCAGGTCCTGGATGCCGGGGTCCCGGGCGTGCGTTGGCACCTAGGACCAGCGCTGGGGAGAAGTCCAGGAAAGGAATGGAAGGAGACAACGTCGCACGCACCGAGAGATCTAGGAGTGAGAGGCTTGATTGGGTTAGTGAAGGAGTGCAGCCCTCCTTGCATTTTTACCCGGCTCTAAAATGCCCAGTAAACTCATCAATTAAACATTAAAAAAGAAGATCTGTTATTTATTTAGAGTTAAAATCACGTTCAGAGCCAGAGGTAGGGGTAGATTGGGATCAAATGTTTGGGGTGGGGTGAAGGTTAGGATTAGGGTTTAGAGTTAGGGTGGAATCAAAGTCTGAGTGAGCCTCAGTGTCAGGTGAGGGTGAGGGTGAGGGTGGGATGAGAGTCAGGGTTGGGTTAGCCTCAGTGTCGGGGACTTTTGTGCATTTGGTAGGGTCAGCATCCTCATCAGGCAGGTCCATCTGTAACAGATCCTCCCTTGAGTGGAGGCTTCCAACGAGTTGTGATTCCTGTGAAGGTTCACTGAGCCGTGGCTGCCTGTTCAGCAGTCAGTGCGGATTCGCTGGCCGCCTGCTGTCCCTGGTGTCACAGTGCTCTGCTGCTCTGCCCCTCCACCTAACAGCCTCCTCCTCCTCCTCCTCCCCCTCCTCCTCGGAGCGCCTCACTGGGCCAGTGCTGCCCTCGTGTGGCCTGGGCTCCTCGGACGGCCTTCCTGGGGTCCCTGTTCCTCTCGGATAGAGGGAGGCCTGACTGGCCTTTGGCATGTTGACGAGAGACCTACACTGCCTGTGCCTGGTCCCTCTGGAGGCTGTTTGCCGTGTCCCCTTGAGCCCGGCTCCTGTCACCATCTCCTGGCCATACCCTCCATCACTCCTCAGCGGTGACTTCCCCTCGGCCCCCACCGTGGCCCCACACGCACCCACCCGCCCCGCGTGGTCCTGCCTGGGACCCAGCTCCACACAGCAGCTGCCTCTCTCCTGGTCAGTGCCCTAGAACTAGCCAGTCAAGGAGGCTGGGCAGGAGCTGTGGTCAGTGGTGAGCACTCACCACCAGCCCTGTTCTCGGAAAGGCTGTGGGCAAAAAGACTGGACAGGTACAAATGTGTGAGGAGATCTGACGAACAGAAACCTGCGAGGGAGACGCCACAGCAGCCACATCTCCGGCTAACCGGGCCTGTGCGGACTCTTAGCTCAGTCAGGAATCGGTCGGTCGGTTGGTGAGTGTCTCTGGGGCCAGGTGTCCATGTCCGGTTGGGCAGCCTGGGCCCTCAGGCGGGTTTACAAGCTCTCTGCTGGCCCTCAATCCCAGTGAGGCAAGTGCTGCAGCCTTCGGCCAAACGGAGTCTGACAATTCATAATGGGATCCGCAGCAAGGGTGTCTGGGGTACTTAGCATAGTTACCTGGGCAGGCCCACGACTCCTTCCTCCCTAGTTGGGTTCCGGGTGAGTACTGGGGCCCCCACTAGGCCACTCTGTGGTCACCAGTGTCCTGGCTGTGCCTGTCCCTTAAACCAGTTGAGCCTGTCTTTCTGGAGGAGGCAGTGAGTGATCAGAAGGACCTCTGAGCACTGAGCTATTTCAGTGTCACCTGGTCTGCCCTGCTCCTGTCAGGGCCTGCCCCTTGCGGCCTGCTCTCTGGGGTAACTGGACGTCCACAGCCCTTGTTCCCTGTGTCCTGTGTGCCACCTCCAACAACCGAAAGACTGGTGACCCAGACCCAGCCAGCAACCCCATCAGAGACAGGCCCGCCGTCTGTTCCCATACAGGTCACAGCCTGGGACCTCCGTTCTGTTACACGGGCACGGTGTTGTAATCGCCTTGACAAGTCCTTGTGGTTCTGCAGGAGAAAGGCGTGGCCATCCACTGTCCTAATGACAGCCGCCTGGGACGCCCCATGGGGCAGGCGCTTCTGCTGTGTGCATGGGGTGGCCGTGAGTCAGCCTCGACTTGACGGCCCCCATCCCACCCAGCACTCTTGGTACCCTGTGTATGAGGCTGTAGCAGTGGGCCACACAGAAGGGGCTGTGAGGGCCCTGGGGTCCTCAGAGTGTGACGTAAAGGAGGTGGCGTTCCCAGCTGTCAAGGGGTTGAGTGGCCCCTGCGGGAGTGTGTCCTCCCAGAGGTCAGAATGGCCCCTCTGAGCCTCCTGGGAGCTGATGGGTCAGGATGAGTGGGTGTAACAGTGGGACGTCAACAACAGTGCTGGCCACCAGAGGGCACTGGGCACACGCCCTGCAGGAAGCCTGCTCCGGTGGCAGCTTCCGGCTGTGGCTGGATTCACCCCTCCTGTCCTCTCCCTGTGAGCAAGCAGGGCCTGGTTTTGTAGCTTCCCTGTGTCCCTGAGTCCAGAAATGATTGCTGTTTGAAAGAGAGCATGGCTATTAGATTTTATTCTGCGGGGAATGGAAGGGAACCCCGAGCAAAAAATCCTAAACGTAAAGGGGTCCTGGTGACAACTGTTGTGCATGCCCCAGGGGCCCACAGAAGATGAAACAGCTCTCTCTCAGAAGGGGTGCGGCCATTAGGACATGCTGACAGGAGAGGCCAATCACTGGAGTCGGACGTCATGCGGGGAAAGTTGGGTGTCCATGAGGAGGAGGAAGGCCCTCAGAGGCAGACACACTGGGTGGTGCTCTGGCGGCCTGGGGCCAGTGTCTTGGGAGGAAGGGTGCTTGCTCTCAGTGGGACAAACTTGGAAGCGGTTGGCCCTCGTGGCCTGTGAGTGGTGGCCTCTGGCATACTTAAGGCAGTCACTGATCTGCCACAAGTTTGTATTTGGGGAGAGGACCCGCCTGGCCATTGATGACTTCCGTGCACAAGTAGTTTCCAAAGACACATCTTGTCTGCCAAGAAAACTC